GGGCAAGTAAGTGGGCGGGATGAACACCTGAAAGGGATAAGGAAAGTGACAGAGGAAATGAGGTTGACATCACGGTTGAACATCGCCCAGTTAGGACGGAGCCCAAAATCAGTATTCCTTTCGATATCGTGGGCGGGGGAGCGGGCAGGCGGGCAACGACGATGAGGTAGTGGGGGAGCGATGAGCGCATAGGAGCTTTATTATAACTCCGCTTCAATTGCCGAACTTGCCGAGCGTGCACCCAGACTTTGTCGCAGACGCAGACCTGCACCCAGACCGGCGTAACTTGCCATTCACGCAATCTCATATGCAACACACTGGAAGATACAAAGTATTCCCCAGGTATTACCGTATATGGTCTGCATATGGGAGACTGACCGTCTCATGTGACTCTATCTCATTTGTGTTCCTCTTCTCGATTGTACCAGAATGAAGCCATAAATCCCGACTTCATACATCCCACCATGATAACTTGAAGGATCACCTCCTTCGACCCGAACTTTTCATTTGCCAAGCTGACAGCGGTCGGGGTTGGGACAGGGGTCCCAAGACTAGATAGTACTGTCCTACATAGAGTTTCACTCTCATGGACAAAAAATTGGAATCTAAAAAAAGCTGACAGCAAGGTGTCTTGTGCACTCGCGAGTGTGATACTGGTTAGTAGTATTTAACTCCCTGCTTGGCTTTAAATTGTACTGAGCTTATCACGCGGCCGACAAGCAGTCACCACGTCAATTCTGAATATAAGCACACGAAAAAAGGTATTTTGCGCAGCCAAATCTGAACTTTAAGCTGCCACAGCTTCACGTCTATGACTAACGTAGTTACCTATATGGAACCCGAGAAAGTTCAGGGGCTACGCCGAAAGGCTAGGCCCCTGTATTGGTATATGTCGTTCGCAGAATCTTAAGGTCTAGAGCGCGGGACCAACCGTTCCGTCCTTACATATGTTAGACAACCCACCTTAGGTGTACCTTTCTTTTCAAGGCAGGTCATGAGTCCGTAACGGCTATCGCAGCCTACCCTTAACAATAAGGCACGGACCGTTTACTCCTGCCCAAACATGCTTAAAAGGAAGAGTTCCTACGTAGAACTAGAAGTACAAGCGGTCGGGGCAGCGGCAAGCCCCCTGACGAGAGCTTTCGCAGGCTCGAAACCGCTGCCTCCCGCATTACTAGCCCCTCCCTCCCGTTGTAGCAGCGCCCTATCTTCGGAGACGGTGGACTGCAGCACGCGTGCATAGGGGTGGTCTGCCTAGTACACTTCTACTCGTAGACTACACTCTGCAAGCTCGGCTAGACTCGGATTTAGCTGTCGAAGGAGAGCTGTCGAGTAAGGTGACGACCGGAGCCCAGTCGTAAGATTCTCGGATCCATCATCCTGTGAACGGATGAGGTATAAGGTATTGTGAAGGAGGAGTATCAAAAACAGCATTGTTTACCATGACGTTGATAGGCCGATGTGCGGGATTATTGTAACCGCTTACCATCACCTGGGGGGAGAGTATTCTAATAGGGGATTGGGATGATGCAACTGATTTGGCAATTCTCGTAACAGATAGTGTCTAAGTACTAGTGTACACCCGGCTGTCTGCAGACGAACATTGCTTCTCCTGTTGGATGTCTCGTCGCCCCCGCCTCTTCAGATCACATTCAGCAGTTATTCTTCATAGTTGCTGTAACCGGACAAGACTCATACCCAAATAAAAGATTGGCGGTCTCCTGATGATCGCTAGCATGTCACCGAGAACAATGAGGATATCCAGAAAGCACTTACGTTGTCATACTCACAGGCTACTGATGAATCGCCACCTGACAAGTTGGCATTTGTGTAACTGCCAGCGTATCAGTTAATTTGTTCAATGAAGATGTGTGGGTTCGACACACGTACAAGCAAAATGTGAACTGGTCGAATGGGTTGGTACTGGACAGGTGTGAGACACTGCCGTCGACCTTCAATGAGCCTGGGCACTGTATACACGCATTGACACCAGCGAGGGAGCTGAGCAGTGCAAAAATGATGGAGGGAAGGGAAGTAAACATGATGGAGTTTGTGGAAGGGAATGAGGCAAAGCCATTGGAGCAAGCAAAGGTTTTATACTTCCAGTGTGAACGTAAAGGCGTTCATCGCTTTGCTGCTGAGATGCCCTACTTGAGGCAAAACGGTTGAGCCAAATGCATGATAATCACCAGACTCGAAAAGAACTGTGAAGTCATGACAAGCTGATGTGGCAAGCACTCAAAAGGGGGTGTGCGGCACCAGTGTCGTGGGGGCTAGGTGAAAATTACGCGGTCGTGACGCGGCACCTGGCCGTTGCATTCGGAAATTGTTGTCCTGGGTCGTCCGATCAGGTTCGCAATCCAAAAATTGAAAATAGGAAATTTCAGAAAAATTATCCTCGCATCACACACCCGCTCTAGCCTCACAGAAGACTCATTAACGACGCCGTACAGGCAACATTATCAACAAAGACATGAAAGAAAGAGTTTCGGAGCTGATCGAGGAAGGTTGGACAGTGGAGGAGATGGCCGAGTCCAGACATCCTACATCAGCGGAAGGCATTGGACGCTGGGCTGACCGGATGAAGGATCGGTAGACCCACTAAATTGCCATAGAGTATGTCCTCGACGTCTCACTACAGGGATCAGCAAAGCTGTGCCACCTCGTCACCCAATTACCACCCTTTTCCTTGATGAAATCCAAACGGCACTGCTGCTTCACGACAACCTTCGCGACCCTCGACTTATCATATACATACAAGTATGACCCTCGTGGTGGCAGCGTTTGACCTTTCCATGATGTCTCGATGTGCTGGAATGGTATTTCGAAGGATGCTCCTTCTCGTGACGTATTGCAGGCCTCGGATCATATTCTGCCCTACTCGCATGCTCTTCAGTGCCTAAGGCATCAATTTTTCGAGGACGGAGGCGCCAAGGAGGTAGCTTGATGTAAGTTTTGCTGTTCTCTCTCTCAATAATCTCATCTAAAAACGTTGCATGTAGGAGAGGGGGGGAGTCTCCTTCCCGGTACTGTCCGACAATATAATAGCGCTGGTGTCGTCAGCCGTTCCTCGGATGTACTTACTACGATGTTTTTTCATGGTCTGCATCAATTTCTTCGGCAGTCCACATGATAGCAGGTTTTTTAGATAGGTTGTGAAGAAATGTACGTTGAATAGAGCTCGTAGACAGTGGTGAATGATTTTTTTGAATTTGTTGACTTCAACGGACAACCCTCGGTCCTCGGAGAGAAGTCTAGCTTAGTCAGCAAGATCAATACTTTCAATTTTGTAAGAGAGCACTCGAGGAGCACTTCACACTTTCTAACCTGACGAATGGTGTCTTCCATGGATTCCTTGTTTGTTAAGGTACAACATACGTCCTGCCGAAATCCCTGCGTCCCACCTCTCCACCACCAGACAATGTCCCAAGCATAGCACATCAAGGATCTCAAGCTAAGAACCAAATTAAACCGCCAGGCAGTTCATGTTGCGCGGTCAAAGCACTCGTCGAAGATGCTGAGCTGTTATTGGCGAGCGAGGCAGGGAAAATGCAGGTGGAGAACGAGCTAGAACGAACGTGGAGAATAGGTCAAGATGACATTGTGCAAGGTGCTGGTCAGGAGGCTGCCAAGGGACGACGGGAGCTGAAGTTGGATGGTGGTCCATATCGCTCGAGATACTCGAGGAATGGCAGACATCTTGCCATTGTCGGCAGCATGGGTCATGTCGCGACTTTTGACTGGCAAACAGGAACCATGCATGCTGAGCTTCAGCTGCAGGAAACATGTCGTGATATCACGTACGCCAATTGTCCCTTACATGCAGAAACTCTCAATCTTTCATTACAGATTCTTGCAGGATCAATCATTCTTTGCAGTCGCCCAAAAAAATATGTATTTATATACGACCGCGATGGTGTCGAACTACACCGATTGAAAGCTCACATCGAACCTACGCGACTAGAATTTCTTCCATATCACTGGTTGCTCGCTAGTGTGGTCAGTTATTCCAACTCAATATCAACTTGTGCCAGCTCAGTCCATAGTAGGGAAATACTGGATTTCTAAAATATCAAGACACCTCCACAGGTCACATCGTTGCAGAGCATCGAACCAAGCTTGGCGCATGTAATACACTAGCACAAAATAAACACAACGCAGTGTTACACCTCGGTCACTCTAATGGCGTTGTCAGCCTCTGGACGCCAAACCTGCCCCATCCTGCTGTACAAATATTAGCACATCTCGGTCCAGTTGTGGGTCTGAGCGTCGATCAGAGCTCCGGTGGGCGTTTTATGGCAACGTCAGGCCAGGATGGTGTCGTAAAGGTCTGGGACTGTCGGAATTGGAAGGGCACTGTGCGGGAGTGGACGACAAGAGGTGGTGGCGCTGAGCTAGAATGGAGTGCAAGGGGCGCGTTAGGCGTGGCAGTAGGTGGAAGTGTCAACGTGGGTTACCGCACTCTTGCTTGTGATGGTACTAATTCGTCGCGTGCCAGATTTACACAAAACCGTCAATACAGACCCCGCATGCGGCAAAAGCTCCGCCACCACTTTACCTCACTCACCCAATACCACATCGACCGCTTACTTCGGTACGATTTTGCCCCTTCCAGGATATCCTTACGATTGGACACAATGCTGGTCTGTCGAGCATTCTCGTGCCTGGTGTTGGCGAGCCAAACTTCGATAGCACGGAAGCCGATCCATTCGAGAACAAAAAGGCAAGAAGGGAGAGAGAAGTCAAAGGTCTGTTGGACAAGGTATGCTCAACTTATGGTTCGCTCCTGAATGATGCTGATAGGGACTAACTATCGATTTAGATTCAACCGGATATGATCGCACTGGACCCCGATTTTGTCGGATCCCTCGCTCCGACGACAAAATTAACGACTGCTGTCAACGACACGCATGACATTCCCTTCGGTCGTCTCCCTCGCCTCGAAAGACTACGCATCCAGGGTAAAGCGGATGAAACGAAGCTTGTTGATGATGACGACGAGGACGCTGCAGAAGGCGAAGGGGACAAGAATGACAAACCGCAGTCACGAGCGGAGAAAGAGAAGCGGAAAATGCGCGGCAAGGGCAAGAGTGTCAAAAGGTACCATTTTATGCGAGGCATTATGCAGCCTATCACTTATCGTGTCCGAAACCCAGATATCTCCGGAAGCAGCGCAAGAACGTCATCGATCCCACTGCGGTAAGCCTCGGTCACTCGCCCTGTTCATTGATCTATGCTCATGTTCGTACCTCTGCAAATATAGGTTGCTATTCGTGCAAAACTGGAGAAGCAACGGGAGGAAAAGCGCGTGGCGAAGGCTATCGAGAAGGGTCAGATGGAGGCGCGCCAACCATCGGCGCTTGATCGATTTAGACGACCGTGATGGCATTTGGTCCTTGGAGCAATATATATATGTAGTCCATTGGAGGGCTTACGCTGACGTGGTTTGGGTTATCGAAGCAGACTTTGTTCGATCAATCGTCTCTTGAACCCCGCAACCACCTCCCGCACCACTGACTTGGGAGTTGTTTACCGTGCTGGCAGCGCGATGTGATGCCGACTTTAAGCTATCGAAAAGACCAATATTCACAATGACATGTATTCCTTTGATCATCTGCGTCGTCATACTGGAAATGTCAAAGAGTACACTGAGGAACCAAATGCTTGCAAGGTAGCTATCTATTCTATGGTAAGCATATATGGCACTATAACATATGCGTCCTGTGGGCTGTTGCCTCAGCCCTAGTATAGGAACACCAATGACTATGTAAGCAAGGAGGGAGCTGAGACGGAAAAGATTGCGAAATATTGGATAATCAGTCCTTTTGAAACCTGTTGAAATCTATATCATTCCAGTATACCGACCACTACGCGAACACCACTTATACATCAATAACTTCTGCATCACGTTCTTCCTTCTCCGACATCGAATCCTCATCTCTGTTTTCACATGTGATAGCCGGTGTAATGTTGGCTATGGGTCCATTGAACCAATGCACGCCTCCGTACACCGGGAAATAATACCACGAAATCGCAAGGAACATGAACCCTCCAAGGACCACAACTGTATAGTTCATCTCCTGTGCGGTTGTTTGGGGGGTGGAGGGAAAGAAGAAAACGATGTTCATGAACACCATCCCTGTCACAGCGATCGCAGAGATCGGAAAACTCTGCACAGGCATGTTAACTCAGGAATACTAGTACATCCCTATCGACCAACTCACAAATTTCCCAAGGTGGAATGGGCCGGGTTTAAAGTTGTTATTAAACACGAAACGGGTCGTGATAGGCGTTATGTAGGAGATATACGACGCGGTGACACCAATTGTGAATACCGCATTGACGGCTTGGGTGCTCACGAACGCGAGAAGTCCAATTAACAGAGCACAGGCGGCGTCGAACCAAACTGTATTGACTGGTGTGTGTGTGTAGCCATTGATCCGGTACAAATATCGTGAAAATGGGAGGGCTCCATCACGAGCAAATGCAAACGTCTGGCGAGAGCCGACCAGGAGACAGTTCGATGACACCATGTATCTGCTTTGTGATTAGCCTATCAATGCGCCACATGCCGCTAAGACGTACTGGGCTGAGATAATGAAACACCAAAAAACTAAGGCCATTCTCTGCCCGAGCGAATTGTAAAAGATCTGGGCCAAGGGCTGACCTAAGGGCTATTTAAGATGCCGTCAAGATCAGTGCCCATGCAAAAGGCAAGGACAACGTTGATGACTAGACGAGAAGATGTCATCAAGATCAGAATGACGCGTTGTTCCACATACCCCAACCCAGGACGGCCGCAATAATAATGGAACTGGTCTAACTGGGGTAAACACAACAACAGTTCATTTTCTAGTGTCACTTACGATCGCCCATGGTATTGCGGTAGCGGCGTTCGAAGCCTCCTCGCTCATGTGGACGCTAGCATCATAACCCCCTTGGTGGGTGTAACACGGTCACGTACTGAAAATTCGAGAGAAGATTATCTAACCTATTGTCCAAAGAGGAGCCATTAAGCTCAATATAAATGCGAATCCAGATGGCCAGCCATCCACTATAACTGATCATAAGTTGCGATTGTAATCGGAAGACGATACGTACGATTTGTGAAATTCCCTAGCGCAAAACTTGCACTGTTTCGATATTCTGATGGTGTTGCGATCGGAAGTGCGATAATGACTATGAAGCACAGGCTGTAGAAGGATTTGAAGCAAAGATCATGGACAAATACACAACACCTACCACAAATTCACCAACGTATACAGTGACTGCAGTCTTGCCAAGACTTTGGTACCGAGGCTCACGAGGACGGCTTGTGACAACATTACAGCTGCGTATATACCGCTGTGACAATCATTATGAACGTTGGGGTGTTTGAAAGAGGACGGGCTCACTAGATCTTCGCATTAGTAGTCGCATATGGTTGACCAGAGGCGATACTGATTGCGGCTGTGATTTGAATCGCGCACGCCCAATTTACCGAAGCTAATCCCACACAATGAGAGCCAGACTGTTGAAAGAATGAAAATCGTCTTACCGACTCTCGCTATAGATTCTATGGTGTTCGAATCTGCAGATGCCATGACGGGCTGCGTCTCATATAGAAATGCAAGACTTACAGCCAACTATCCAACACAGAAAATTGCGGCACCGTGGAGACGCAAGGGAGTAAGTCCAATAGTATAGCTAGACGTTGCTGAGTCAGGTGTAAAACGGACACAGGGTTAAGCACGTACGCCACCGGAAGTAGGCGCGCTGACGCGAGTTCTCCCAGTGCCAACCCGATGCACATGATAAAAGGGCAAGCAATTGCCCACTGCGCAAACATGAGATCTTTACAACACAGCAATCCCGATATATGATCAAAGCTTACCCCCCATACCATAGCGAAAGGCCCACCATTTGGTAGGGCATAAAAAAACACGGAGCTGAAATGGATTTCTATCAGTGAAAGAGCGATATTAACAGGCATGCCTCATGGCGACGGCTTACACTATAGAAGGTACCACTCCTATATAGCTGAATGCAAGTCCAGATACCTGTACAGCTGTTGGATGATGTCATGTACACAAAAGAATCTGATATCAAGCCCACCTCTAGCGGAGTGAATTCCCTGCGAAACTCCTGCTTGTATCCTAGCTTTGCTAGAGTCGCCTCATCCTCGCCTGGTTCCAGGTGCAAGTTTGAAGTCGCAGGAGCTCTCGAAATCATATCGTGCGATTGCAAGTGGGCGAATGAGCTTGAGTCATGTCCAAAAAAACGACTCGTATTAAAAGCCTGATAGAACCGGCGTTACCCTGCAAATGACGTCCACGTTATGACCGAGAAGTTTGAACTTCTGATGATGATGATCAGAAAATGCCTAAGTATGGAACCTTGTCTCAGTTTGCGATCTGGACAGCAATTGACCCAAATGACTATTTAGTTTACGGTCTGGATGTCCAACGTCTGGTTTGGAGGTCAACCTGGGTATGTAGAACATCCGGACATCGGCGAGGAAGTGGGGTCAGGTCATTATCTGGATGATAGGTTCCATGCTGAACTGATATGGTACACCAGATTAGCACACCGAGCTCCTCGCACAGCTGCTTGAATTCGCACGTGTTAATGGTTGCATGTGCTCCAACAGCGGAAGGACATGTCCTCGCCGATGTGTTCCGTGACAAGAGCTACTAGCATCTGCAAATGACCCATTTTTCTCGCTTGTCAAAAAGAAGTTTGATGCTTACGGTGAGCTTATGGCGATGGTGAGAGTACAGTTGCAGACAGGCAAAGTCAGCAAATTTGGACGACGCCAAAGACTGATTTTTCCCGGTGCCACAAATAACCGGAAACCCATTTTTGGTGCAGAATATGTTGATTGAGGACCAAGTGCAATGCATTTGCACGAGCAGATTGTCCAAAAACTCTCATTTGAGGATTTTTTAGGGCAAATTTTTGGCGGTACCATAAATAAATCGCTAAAATCTCGAAAAATATGGCAATCGCTTCCTTTCGATGTCCTGTGCGTGATTCCATTGAAATATTACAAAAATATCGAGCTGTTCTAGCGTTAAAAAATGGTAAGTGTTGAGGTAATTATCCCTGGAATGGTCCCTCAAATACTCCCGAACCTCTGTCAGTTGGGTTGCGAATGGGCGAAATCATACCCAATAAAGTCTACATAGCTAAATTAGAATGATTTTTTGATCTTGGTGATATAGGGCCCCCAAAATGGTGTCTCAGACACCCAAAAGGGGTACACAATGTCTTTCAAACTGTCCAAAAATTTGGTGGGCCAAAAACCTAGTGGGAAAAACTTCGGACCATTGTTTTTAGACGTATTTTCACTCCCTGCATTCAGATCTGGCCTTGGTTTGGCACCAAAAATTCACGCTGGACGGCTACCAAATTGGTGGTGTTTGGTTGTCCGCAACTGTACGCGTTGAGAGATGCTCAATTTTAAAATGTCGCAAGTCGTAAGGGAGCCAAATTCACGCTAAGCGTCGCCAAACCTGTCCTAAACGGGACTTGTACCTAAACCTTACGGCATGCAGTGCCAACACTTGCAGTCTTAAAACATGTCCTAAACCTCAGCAGCGCTCCTAGTATAGAGGGTCGAGAGTGCCTATTAGGGTCATTTATAAATCAAAAGTTCGATGTGTTGTATACAGAGGCCAGCTGATATGTACCATATATATGTAGACAAGTATCATTTTTATGGAAGAGAAGGCCAGAGCCGCCTTCTCTTCAAGTTGGTAATACCACTCACTCAACTACAATCCAAAATAGGAAATACCGGACTTTGAAAATTTACCTAGACACGTCAGATCAACGTGGTTTGGTGCAAGTTTGGTGGTAGATCCTTCTCATACCCAGCTATGTCTCAGCAATCTCAGCCCAGAAAATTCTGGCTCATATGTATCAGTGACGGACATAAGTAAGTCGCAGTGAACCGCAACCATTGCATGCACCACATCCTGATGCACATATGATGTCGTAACCATCATAGCATCAGACGTTGCCGGCTCCGCCACCATGTGGCACCATCCTCTTCAGCCATTAGGTACCCCCGAGTTTGGCATTGTTGCCAAAATTGTTCAGTGGAGACGATGTCAGCATATACTTACTCCAGCATCTAATAACAGAGCTGGTCATCCAGCCTCTCTTGCGCCTTCTGCTCATTTATTTTTTGCCGGCCATTGTGAAGCTGTTCTATCATGATGCTAACCCTAGTTCAACTCAGATGAAGCAGATAAGCCTATCTGCATTGGACGCCATCACAGATATCATGCATCAGTGAACTGGTGGGAATGTGAGAAGGACATATATTACAATATATAGTAGACAATCACCAACATCAGTATAATTCTGCTACCGGCCGTTGCATTGTGATGCTTGACTTTATAAAGGAAAGCAGAGATTTGAATTCGCATGCACAGGTTTGCAACTTGCTAAAGGCTCATGGATCACCTAAACTCGAGATCGAGAGGTAGTGTCATGAATGTTACCAACTGCATCTAAATTTCGATTATCGAACCCTAAGACACCTTATCCGATAAGATTAGATTAGATAGATCCCTGATAAGATAAGATGGATAACCGATTAACGATCACTATCTTTACTTCACATCTATACTACATCGACGTCATCCATCTATATCCGTAACCCTAGATAGCCGAACTCATCATATCTTTAGAAGTCCTACGATTAGGCAAATGGGTTACATCATAAAGCATCATGCCTCTATGATCGAACCATAACCGAGAGTTCTTTACAAGCTATCTCTCGAAGAGTCACATCCCTTCACGTCGCACACCTTCACTTCTCATGACAAGTTAAGAGTTACCTCTGTCATTCACCGAACCCCTTACATAAGAACCTGTTGCACAGTCACAGCTAAACCCTGAACCCCTATCACAGAAGCATCGCTCATAGAGAAGCATGTTCATTACCGAAGACCCTGGAGAACCCTTAGATCCGATCACACCCGATACATCTCCAGATCCAGATCCCATCTAGATCCTAGATCTAGATTCCAGATCCTATCTCTTATCGAGATCCTTAATTACCGCTTGAGACTTCTATCACAGAACTCTCTCACACCCTTCTTAATCTCCGTCCACCCTGAATAGAAGCAGTCCCTGAGAACCCTGCTTAATCACCGATACCCTTGGCCCTATGAACCCTTTACCCTTCTCTTCTTGTAGTTGATTGGTTGATAAGACGCCCTATACCCTAGGTGCAATGTTATGACCGTATATAGTTATATCACATACCTTTCATACTCAGATAGCTCCGCCCCAATAGTAGTATATAGTCTAGGTAGTAGTCAGTAGTACTCCTTAGACTTAACCTCCTCGTTTCTACGTCATTGTAGGGCCTAGACGTTCCCTCTCAATCCATCCTTGCTTTATCCTTCTTCAGACTGAGTCCTGTGGTGTGATACAATCTCCAGACACCTACTAGTTAGGTTAAGGGACGTTGGTCATAACAGGTAGTTGGTGCAAAATCTGATGTTCGATCTGAACGAGTCATGCCTACCCCTTGTGGAACTAGGTTCACAATTTTTAAGATCAGAGCAGAAGTCAGTACCTTGTAGAGACCGACGATTTGTCCACAGATTGAGCTCGAACCGAATGATATGCTGGTTTGGTTCATTGGTCCGAGCGCTTTGAATTTATAATGTAGTTCTGTCGGGTATCATTGACTACTCCATACAAAACCACTGTAACTTCTTGTGGAAGCGATAATTTGTGCATCAATTGAGCGAGAACCAAATCAAATGCTACATCGAACCTTTAGCCTATCTGCTCTGAATAGGCAGTTTTGGTCGGGTGGTGATTGGTGGCTATTCCATACAAATTTGTTTTAGCTTTGCGTCGACGGTACATTTTCATGACATAGACAGTAGGCTAGAGACTTGAGAGCAGTGGCTCATGGTTCACCTCGGCACTCAATTTACCATTTGATAGGCATCCTATCCATTGTGCCATTGTCCATAAAATGGTGTGTCTTTATATCCTACTTCAATGATTGTTGATGCGCCCATAGACAAGGAGAATATCCCGGCTAGCCTATATACCATTAGCAGGCTTATGATTTCGATGTGTTTTATGAATACTGTCATCTCGCAGTCCTACACTTAATTGCTGTCCCCTCGCGTTGTCGGTAAAGTTGACCGTTTCTGGCCCCCTACATTAGTAATTATTTATCCGTCTATTTGGAAAGTCTCTGTTTGCATTTGTCAATCCCAACGATTATGCTATTGCTGGGCAATACTAGGCATTTATGTAAACCTCCTGAAACCGAAGAGAAGACCACAGAAAGCCTGCAGATAAAGATAGCGTCCTGAATACCCCATGTGCCATGTGCGGTACTGTGATTTCGGAATGTTTTTACAATTGTGTCCATTTGTCACCTGTCCCAAGAAGTTGCAGCTGTGCATGAATACCGTGGAGTTATGACCTAGTAACTTGACTCAGAACTTGACAGCCAAGGGTCATCCCTCGCCACGGTACTTCACCTACTATTCAACAGCCGTCATGTATATTTGGCTCATGCCATCAATGTAATCTATACATGTGTGTCGCTTCAACTTTAAAAGCCATCTTTTTGATATGTCTAGTGTTCATCAACTGTATATCGGTTTGGATGTGTGTGAAGAAGCTATATCTTTGTGCAGCAGTGGGCTTTGTTCAAACAGGCAGGCAGCAATCAATTTGTATCATGCCTCGAGTCTCAAGATGATACTCTCTGAATAGCTAACAGCTGGCGGTGATATACCACTTATGACTGCGTCCCAAGAAGTTGGAGCTGTTTGCAGACCATGTGTCATCGTAGCAATGTACCTTGACTTCAAATTCAGCAGTGGAGGGTCATGTATCAACCTCAGTACCCAGCTTACAATTCAACTGCCCTCGGACATATTGTGCCATGCATCATGTTCTAGTTGTAGCTGTGCACAGAATTCAGCAATGTTCATGGTTGCGCTGCACTCCCCGGATCCAGTTTATCCAACACAAGCATGCAGATTCATGAACTGGAGCTTGAATTGCACTGTTAGCGTGAATGATCAAGAATACTCATGGTTGTGCTGCACTCCCTGATTTAGCTTAACCAACACAAGCATGCATATTCATACCATCTGACACAGCAAGCTTATGAATCCCCGGATTGGACTCGGAGAGCGCTCTGAAGGTAGTAGCTCAATATTATTCATTTATTTTACACCAAGCAGATTAGCATCAAGCTGGACATTAATATGGAAGTAATAGTAAACTATACGACGAGGGATCTCTAGGCCGAGTCAAAGGCCGCATCATCACATTGTGCCCTCTGCATTGCGAGGGCATTGACAGACATCCTGGCCTTTGCCACATCGCTGATGTCGTTACGGTGGCTCCGTCCAAAAACCTTCCTAAACAGCAGAGTTCAGGTGATGTTTATTGAGAGAAATACATGACGCACCTACTCCACCACTCGAGAAGCTTGTTGACCCTGCGCTGCACATCTCGACCAGGGGGCCTTTCAAAGAAGTCAACAATAGTACACCAGAATTAAACATAATCAAAATCGCCATCAACAGACCGCCATGATGTAACCAAAGAAAGTGAGAATCAAACCTGCCAGAATGGTTATCATACATCATCACTGACCTCGCCAAATACTATGACCTACTAGGCACGCGATGTATGCGATTGAGCGAGGAGTGACCTTTTTCATATTGATGATCTGCGCTACATGTTTTTTGACCTTAGCTCCATTGAAAGACTTCCTGGTGCATCTGTTGTTCTGGATGATATCTGCTCCATCCCCATCACCTTCGACGTCCTTTGCTGAGGAAGGTGACGTGAACACGGCTTTATATCCCTGCCTAAAAGTGAGATTACAACCAGGCTATACTAGTGAAACAGACCTGAATGAGTATTTTGCCTTTGAACAAACCCTCCTCCAGATCATCCGGATTGGCAGTATACCCATCGTACAGGTAGGCCAGAAAGGAGAGATCCGTCATGATATAGCCCTCTGAGCGATCTCAAATGCCTGCCTGGACCCTGGTGAGCAGTGAGCATTTTTTTCTCGGAATTCCAAGAGCACTACTTACATTGGGTTGTTCCAATTTAGTTTGGCAGGGCAAAGCAGCCTGCTGCATGCATCGTTGGAGAATCCATGGGTATGTTTGTCGTCGGAGCTGACCGGTGAATCTGGCTTGAATTCCCGATTGACCCATTTGGAAACAAGAGCCTTGAGCTTCGAGGTATCGTCACCTCGAGCACTGTCAGCCCCCTGCCCATCAGGAAAATGTGGTAAGGCTATATAGCCACCCATAGCGCTATAGACTGCTATACAGACTCCATAGCCCTATAGCTCGTATAGCCAAGTGCCCAATTGTGCAGGCTTACTACACCAGTGTATAGTGCTATATAGCTCTATTAAAGTTGCTATAGCTGGGTGGAACATTGTTATGACCCACGTCCCTTAACCTAACTAGTAGGTGTCTGGAGTTGGAATCACACCACAGGACTCAGTCTGAAGAGGATAAAGCAAGATGGATTGAGAGGGAACGTCTAGGCCCTACAATGATGTAGAAACGAGGAGGTTAAGTCTAAGGAGTACTACTGACTACTACCTAGACTGTATACTACTATTGGGGCGGAGCTATCTGAGTATGAAAGGTATGTGATATAACTATATACGGTCATAACATTGCACCTAGGGTATAGGGCGTCTTATCAACCAATCAACTACAAGAAGGAAAGGGTAAAGGGTTCATAGGGCCAAGGGTATTGGTAATTAAGCAGGGTTCTCAGGGGCTGCTTCTATTCAGGGTAGACGGAGATTAAGAAGGGTGTGAGAGAGTTCTGTGATAAGAAGTCTCGAGCGGTGATTAAGGATCTCGATTAGAGATAGGATCTTGGGATCTAGATCTAAGGATCTAGATAGGATCTGGATCTGGAGATGTATCGGGTACGATCGGATCTAAGGGTTCTCCAGGGTCTTCGGTAATGAGCATGCTTCTCTATGAGCGGTGCTTCTGTGATAGGGGTTCAGGGTTTAGCTGTGACTGTGCAACAGGTTCTTATGTAAGGGGTTCGGTGAATGACAGAGGTAACTCTTAACGTGTCATGTGTGAAAGTGAAGGTCTGCGATGTGAAGAGGTGATAACTCTTCAAGAGATAGCCGTAGAGGACTCTTGGTTATGGTTCGATCATAGAGGCGTGTAGATGCTTATGATGTAACCCGTTGCCTAATCGTAGGACTTCTAAGGATATGATGAGTTCGGATATCTAGGGTTACGGATATAGATGGATGACGTCAATATAGTATAGATGTGAATTCAAGATAGTGATCGTTAATCAGTTATCCATCTTATCTTATCAGGGATCTATCTAATCTAATCTTATCGGATAAGGTGACTTAGGGTTTGATAATCGAAATTTAGATGCAGCTGGTAACATTCATGACAAACATACCACAACTATTGTAGCTATTATAGCTCAAAACACAAAGCAAAAATTTCTCTTAATAGCTGTTTGTTGCCATGATAGTGTTCTCAAAATTAAAAAAAAGCGAAAATTCCAAATTATATTTCAACTACTACAATACATGTAAACTAATAACTACAAAACAGGCAAAAATGCGAAAATTACAGGAGGAAGAGGCAAGAGAACTAGAAGGAAGAATCAGAGAGGAAAGATGAATACAAAAAAAAGAAAGACTTACCAAATAGTGAAAATTGCGAAAATTCTTGAGGGAAGAGGAGGGAAGGGAGCTAGAAGGAGAGGATCAAACAGGAGGAAGTGAGAGTCAGAGAAAAGATTTGCCAAATGGTCAAAAATGCGAAAATAGTTGGGGGGAGGAGGAGCAGGAGGGAAGAGAGCTAGAAGGAGAGGGTTAGAAAAAAGATTAGTCAAATAGTCAAAAATGCGAAAATTATGGAGGGAGACTTACCAGAGTTCAAAGCACCAGCACCAGTACCAGCACCAACAACATCAACACCAAGAGAAGGATAGAGAAGCAAGAAGAAGAGAAGAGAGGCAAAAACTCGAAAATTGTAAGAAAAATATGGAAGATAATCTAATGAGGGGGCAGTGGGGGGGGAAGGAAAGAATGGGAAAAGACTTGTTGGTTGACCGCATTTTTGCTTACATAAGCAGTGCCAAACAAAGCCACAACACAAGACTTCGTGAATTTTCGAGTTTTTGGTTAATAGGACTAGGATTATGACAGTAAGAAAAAGACAATGAAATTGACTGTTAGCATTAGGATTTTGAATACACATAAGGTGAATTTTCGCATTTTTGCTTACATAAATAAGGTGTACCTTAACACTTTTGAACCCTTCAATTCCAAGTATTTTCCTTATAACTCACTAAGATCTTGACCTATTGAAGTCATTAGACTATGGATAGACTTCCCTTGACAAGGACTACAACTTTGATTTAATCGAAAAAAGTTCCCATGGTCAAGTTGCTTTCTTGAACCCTTCAATTTCGAGTATTTTCCTTATAACTCACTAGGATCTTAACCTATTGAAGTCATAAGACTATGGATAGACTTCCCTAGACAAGGACTACAACTTTGGTTTTCATCGAAAAAAGTTCCCACGGTCTACTGGGGTCTATAGTTGTTGAAATGTTTTACTTCTAAATACACTTACCAAACTTTATGGTAATATATAGACTTTCATGATGTCTATACTGGTCTATAGTGCTGTGATAGCTTGCCATAGACTGTATAGAGCTGTGGTGTGCTATCGGGGCTATATAGAGGATGGTCCTCTATATAGAGATATAGTTTTTCCTGATGCCGAAGCTATAAGAAAAAGACTCAGCAATGAAGAACCAATCACTGACATATGTAAAACCAACCATTTTCAACATCTGCATGTATTCATCGTGCTCCATCTCCGACCCATTCCTGTAAAGCCATGGTAAGGTGGTTGAGAGGGTGAAATACCCTATTTGTAGCCGATCTTGGCTACATAATCAAGCTCATGGTTAATGCTCACAAACCAACTTCAAAGTTGAAAGACTCACTCAATAGTATGGTCTTCATCGCCACCTTCATATCTTCGATCATTTTCAGCAATGAGGTCCTCAATGTTATCAAATAGAGCAACAATGCACCTGATCGCCCTTCCCTGAGCCGCGTAATAGTTTGCTTGCCTAAAACATACAGTCAGAAAAGTGAATGATAGAGTAGTACATGCGATCACAGCGGTCATACTTTTCTTTGACCACACGCCCCGACTCGAGAGCCTCTAGCTTCTCCTCCAACTGGGCAATTCTTCGTCTCTGGTGAGCCTGCACAGATGCTGCCGGTACTGCAGACTGTTGGCTGTGTGTGTTGGTTGTAGATGTTTCGTGATGCTCACTCTGCATGCCTTCGATGTTGCCGTCGTCCTGTTGGTTCTCGGTGTCTGGTGGGATGTCCTCGGCATGCACCATAGAGACAAGGGGAAAGGAAAAAAATGAGCTGGTATAGAGAAGGGTGTTGCACAGCAAAGGGAAGGATGGAAAGCACGACTTGGGGATGAGGGATGATACTAATCACCTCGTACCTTGTATACCCGTTGGCTGGCCGCACAAAAAGCATATTCCTATTCAGGACAACGTTGAAAATATGGTGATGAAGTTGCTTGAGCAAATGCCTGTTTAGGAAGATACTAACATTAGATATAAGGAACAAAGTCAAAAACAGAATGCTTGATACTCTCCTAGTATATTAAGCTCATATAGCCCTGCGAGATTGGATGGTATAATCCTGTCGGGTAGCTGCCTCAGTGTGATCGACTCAGACTCGGAGGGGGTTCGTGCACTCATCTTCGTTGGTCGGGTCAATAACAGGCAGTCTGACGCCCAGTAAGGATAGTCATCCTGAATAGATCAACAGTTATCCTCAAATCATCCTGCATTCTCATATATTCTGCAAACTGGGCCTTGAGCTCTTCCAGACACTGCACATTTGTCAATTTCACATACATCAATATTCAACAGATAGTACATACACAGAGTCCCCAGTAACAACCGCCTCCTTCTGCCTCAGTACCTGACGTCGTTTCAGCATCTGGCAAGGGAGAATGTTGTTCGCTCGGACCGGCACCTAGACTGATATGATAGCGAGTGCAACTTGAAGGATGATTTAGCTTGTTTTTCAAGTTGACGCGTAGCATAAGACCGGGCAAAGACGTGGCGTCCCCAATTTATGACAGTTCTTAGTTTCTTGTTCGAAGGCTCAGAGGATGGTGACTCCGAGTTTCATGGTCTTGAGTTTTCTTTTCTCTCTGGATGCCTTGGAAGTAGAGCTAGAAGACGAGTTGACAGTATGCATTTTCAAAGGAATGGCGCTTTGTCTGGTCTGCACATCGAAGGCTTTAGGATTCAATAAGTAACAACCATCGCGAAGCTCACTTCTATTTGTGATGATTATATATCATTCGAGTACATATAATGCAGAAGCCTGATAATAATGCACAAAAAGCATGTGTTCGCGACACAGCAGATTCATATCTAACTTGTGCACAACAATATTAATTATCAGTCAGCATCGTCACAGTTGGCAAATGTTCAATGGTGTGTTGAATCTGCCACTGATAGATAATAACTTCCCAGTAGTGACTATCAAATTATTCGAATGACTTGGATGACTTGAAGGTATGCTGCAGTAATGAAAATTGAGCTCAACTTTACAAGCTTTGGAGGGAGCTTTAGAAAGAGACATAATTATGATTGCACTGGTCATCCCAATTGTACTCATCACCATCATTGTCCCCCATAGCTCCCTCATTTAGTTCTCCATTAAGTACCTCTTCACATTCTTCATGGCCATCGTTGTTGTTGTTGTCCTCCTTGTCCTCTTCGTTGTAATCGTGACCCTTGCTATCACCAGCCTCTTCAAGGTCTGTGTCGTCCTTGTTATCTTTCAATTACATTGTCCATAGGATTGGCCAGCGCCACTGATACAGAACCCAGGCAATCCCTAGCGATCTTCCGTAGCATTGGGGAATGTCCGACACCAAGGTGAGTATACCGCATGAACATATCACAATCGACGAATCTGGCTCGAAATTTGAGTGTTAATGCGTTACTAGGAGATCTGTACCACCTACATCTCAATATAATACTGCTCCCAGTCATCCAGCTGTCCTCCAGGGCGTGCCAGTGACTTTCCATAGCGCAGTGAGCTCACACTGCATCCTGTGGCGAATGCAGGGATCAGATGTGCCCCCCTGGATTACCTACCCAGGATCAAGGAACCCAAAGGCATCCCGGTCGGACTCCTCCACAAACCTAATCTTTGGAAGGCGAGCATATTTAATGCCAGACCTATGGCCCTGTATGGCTGCCAGCCATCTTACCCAGAGTACCTCAAGATGCCGCTTCACTAGTTGAGCTCCACCGCTGAGCCATACCTCCATATGGTAGATGCCCAATACCTGGGCATACCAGTAGGGGTGGCTAGGGGTTGTCTCTCTTGAAAGCACCATGACGTCCCCATGTGTTCTTGGATTGATCGTGTCATACTTGCGCCTCAAGTCATAGGTCATATAGTGCACCCACATAGTCTGGATGGAGTAGATCGTGTTATTGGGAATAATAACAGAGTTTTATTCCTCGTCTGTGAACGTATGGTTGCAACAGCTAACATCTAGCTCCTGCAACCTGTAGATGATGTGGTCCCTTAGTTTTGGTACAAAATTCTAAGTGTCTCCATGAATAAATTATACCGTGCCGCCAGAACAATGTTACTTCTACCTTAAGGGCAGGATCACCATCATTTTCTCTGAGAAATGCAAAAACATCGACTGGGTTGTTCCGAGTAGTCGTGATATGGTGATGCTTTTCATAGGACGCCGATGGGGGGGCATTAGCTGGCGGTTGACTGCTAGAGGACTGTGTGTCTCCAACTTCTGCTACTCGTCGTAGTATGCAGCACCTACACTCGTGTTTGGCTAATTGCACCGGGGTATCTACTTTGCTGGTCAGCAGATAAAAGGCCTTCAGTGCTTGGTGAGCAAGCTCTCCCTGACACGACTTAACTTTAGGTACATAGCATGAATTTAGACAGTACTTATGATTTGAGTAGAGAAGGAATCCGTTGTCCCAAAAAGCCGGATGGTTCTCACATAATCCTCCATGGCATGAAACTTGTAGGTTGCCAAGTTGAACCTCTTCATCCTCGGCCCGTTGGACTCCGGGATGGTGCCATTCATTACAGAGCATTGGGCAGCTCTTCGCTGGCGGGCTGCTTTTTCCTTGGGTAATTCCAGAGTAGTGAAAGCTGCACAAGTGTCGTCTTGAAATTTTCGCAACATCCGAGACAGTTTCTTGAAAGATTCCTTGAGAAAACTTATTGTAGAGTCTGAATGCATTCTAAGCTTGGCCAATGCATGCCACTCTGCAAATCGATATAGCAGAGATTGCACAAGTGCATCATGTTCAGCAGGAAACAGCTGGTCAAAGACCAGAATGGCACACTGACAATGAAGATCTATCAGCGGGTCAAATACAGACAACGAGTAAGTAGGAAAAACCTGTAATACGTTTTCAAAATCATGTGCGGCTAATCTTTTCATCTCAGATGTGTTGTCTGAGAACTTATGAATAACGCCATTACCGAAGGTCAGGACCTGTCGAAACCTACAGTAAGGTTAAGGGTTGGCGATTGTTAGCAGGCAACAGCACTGCTTATGAGATCCCCATACCTGCTGTCAAGGGCTGCAATAAGCTCACTACCGCAAGGAAGGGCATGGAGGAGCCTAAGGAGGTGTGTGAACAGCGCTTTGCAAGTGCCTAGTTCACACTCATGCATGAAGTCAAAGCCGAGTGGTCCAAGCTTCTGAGAAAATTGATTCTGTGAGTAGAGTGCATGAGCTGATAATAATAAGAAAAGTAGTCTCACTTACCAGAGTAGGTACCCAAGAGCCCTCTCCAAGGGTATGCTCTACCTTGACACCATCTACTGTATTTCCATTCATGTAGATAAAACCACGAGCTTTGACTACCCTCGTCCTCACATACTCATGAAGGTTGGTGACACGATTTTTCATGTCCCTCGAAAGCCCAAGAAAATTAAACAGGCTTTTCGGTGTCAGACAGTGAGGGCACAGACACAAGCCCATGTCTTTGATAGTCGCAATTAGAGCCCTGTAAATTTATGAGTGATTCGATCTTTTTGATAAGGTGAATGGAGTGACACACTTTTCAGGATAATCAGCGGAATACGTGAAAATTCAGGGAAAGACCCTCTGCACCACTCCATTGGCACATTTCAGAACAATGCCATGGCAGGTATGTGGACAGAGAGTCTTCATCCAACAAAATGTCCCAGCAGGAATGAAATAACTCCCTGCGACAGTGGGCATGAAGGGACGCTATGCCCGTTTTCGATATGCTGAGATAGGCTACTTAAAATATCTTTGACACTGTCAGGAAGCTGATATTGTCAATAGGAGTAGACATATATATGGCAAAAAGGAAAATTTACTGAAGGTAAAAACCCTACCAGGTGACATGCCCCTGACTTGGGTGATGATCGTGTGTATTTCATCGAATTTCCGAAATACATATACAGCGGCCAGGCCTTGGCAGTCCCAAAGTTTGCTAGATGAGTGGCATCGGAGAAAAACATCAGACCAGCAATGACACATTCCAGTGAACATCCAGGTTCCTTCGGCAGCCTCTGAATGTTGTCCTGAGCTTCTAGCCAGGCATCTGAGGTGTAGAGCTCGTCGTAAATCCGCTCTTCATGGCCGTCTAGAGGGTCCTTCCATAACCGTTTAAAAGGAAAAAGATGGTATGCCCCAGCTTGTACGTCTGCAAATGCCGCACGTATGACTTCAACGAGAGGTTGATAATGGAATCCTTGGATAGTGTAAGGCTGAGGGCCATCCTCCCTTGACTTTGTGGGAATATTGATAGTGATGCCACCCAATCGTCTGGAAAAGTAACTCCTTTGCTGCTCTCATCCATATCCAATTTTTGCAAGCTCCACCTCACCGAGAAGTTCTCAAAATCCTTGTGGTCAAAATCATCTGCCAGAATGACATATTTGACCAGGTGCAAGACTTTAGTTTCCGATAATAGATTACCACCAGAATGCATCCAAGACATAAGCTGATAGACAGACATGTTGGGAAAGGGGTAAGGCGGCGCAAAGACCTCTGGTGGAGAATTGGCCCCTTGAGTATTACTGCTGGTAGCTGTCGGAGCTGTTTGTGCAAGTAGCGATGATTGAATCAACTGATCTGGTTCAAAGGAAGGACAGCATGGATAGAACCGACAGAGGCCAAACGAGTTGAAGGTGGTCTTGAGGGTGTCTCTTAGGGTTAGAAGAATGCGTCAAATTCTAGATCGGGCAGGTAGTGAGGCCATTTGTAATAATGGGATGCCTGCACTATCAGAATCATTGAGATCATCTGGTGAAGGCTCGATATCATTGATAGATCTCGGAATCCGTCCCATTGAGAGTGCGCCACGCTCCTCTGAAATGTCAAGAATAATAGGTAAACATCGCAGAGTGACCGCCAAAGGGGACACGTACCTGTTTCATAGTTGGTACCAGAACCACTCCTGGGCTCTATCTCAACATTGACTTGATCGATTTGTGGCTTCTCTGAGTCTGAGCCAAGGGTGTGCTGCGAGTCTACAAGACTCGACTCGAACACACTGCATGAACCGCGAGCCATAGCAGTTGACCTGAGGAGTCTGCAAGGGGCAATTGGTTTCAAATTTGGACTGGTCCCTCACTGGATGTCCAACGACTGAGATTCCAAGCCCCTGCCAAAGTTGAGAATTTAGTACAGCTCGGAAGGTTAGCAAAGACGTCACTCACCACAACTGACTGTGCTTTGGAAAGCTTTATACACGCCTCCTTTGCACAATCTGGTCAGCTTCCAACTCGCCAGACTGCTGGCTCTCTTGAAAAAGAAACAGGATGTGTGATGCCTACTGAGTCCCCGATTGTCCATGGTCCTCTCCCAGGAACAGCCTGGAGCATTGCAAGACACCATCAGAACTTGAAGAAAGAGGAATACACCAATCCAAAGTGTTTGGGGAAAGCGCATGGCACTTTGGAGCTGACTAGCTGTTATGACCAGAGTTCACCGAATGGCAAAGTCTGACAACAACCACTAGGACTCAGTCAAGGATGATGATTAGAACGGATAGTATTGAGCGTGAACGTCTAGGCCTACTACAACAGTAGAGAACGAAGAGGTTAAGTCTAAGGAGTACTTACGCTAACTAACCTACTTTTATACATAACATTGAATAGGAGTTTGAAAGAAATCAGCCAATGAGAAAAGAGTCATATGATACTGCGGATGACTAAGTATGACGTCATGATACATATATAAGCGACTGAGTAAGACAGCAACTAAACAGAAACCCAAGCTCCGACCAGTTCTTCTTTGGGAAGCGAGATTGTTCTAGCCCGTGGAGTAGGGGAGCCAATCGGAGAAACCATGGGTGATATGTGAAGAGGTGAAGGTGTGACATAGTGAGGAGTCATGTGACCGGTTCGGGTACTGGACGTAGCTGAAGGAAACCCGAGAAATGAAAAATGGTTTGTATTAGGAATTCATGACACTAGCACTTGCAAGGACTTAAGTTGCAGCCAGTGGCATGGACATACTATACTAGTCACTGTATTTTGAAATTTCAGAAAGTTTCAGCACCACGTTTATGATAGTATCAGTCATTTGAAAGGGTGATGCAAGAATGCGAGTGACTGTGACAGACGACTCAACCAGTGGTTTCAAAATCAGGCGTACTACGTTACATGATTCAGGTGAAACTACTGGTATTGTGAAGGCGAGTTCAGAATTGTAATGATACCACAGACAATACATAAGAAGCGATTGATATAATCTTCACTGAACGGTCATCTACATTCTGGACAAGCTCTGTAAGCACGTAAGTGACTAGAGAAAATACCTAAAGTAACACATACCAGTTATCCGCGGGACGCATCTCTTTAGCACTATTTAGGATGCTGAGTACAGCGTCGGTCTGACACACAGAAGTCTTGCTGTGGTTGCCCACTTGGGCAGAGAAATTTGCAACGGGTTGACAGGACAATGCCACACGTTGACCCAAGATATCCAGTAGAAACTGCACTTCTTGCTCTGCCTTCAAGTAGTCCCTTTTTGAATCTTCGTGCATGACACGGGCGAGAGCTTCCCACCTTTCGTGTTCCGAGACTTCCCAACATGTGGCGTGGTAGAGCATGTGGTGACATTCACGAATGGCTTCCAGATAGTGGACAACACATTGGAAAGAGCTTAGGCTAAGGTCATTGCAAAATGCTCGTATATGCATTCCTAACCTAAATGTAACACATACTATCAGAACTACTAAGAGACATGTTCAAAACAATTCCTACCCTCTTGCTGATGGCTTCTGATGTGTCATTGAAATCAACAGACCAGCCTGACAATCGGTCAAAAAGACATTGGTCTTCAAAGGACGTGGTCCTGCGATGGGGAAGATCGCCATATTTGCTCTCAAGAGAACAACTTAGAGTCTGTGGCCCAGTTCCGTTATTAGCAATATGGAATGAAATCTTGGAATTAGGCATTGGAGGAAACATCTCATCATCTGATGTGGTGTGGGCTGCTATTATTTTTAAATTTGAGTCTATCTACCAGTAACTACTACAAATGAGTCATTCATACCTGATCCTGTTGTAGAAACTAATGATGGTGAGCTTGGAGGAGAAATTGAATGATGGCTGGGAGTACTGGGAGTCCTAGCAGTGGAAGGATAACAAGGGCACTGAAGAGGTGTGGAGGGGTATACACATGGACTCCCTTCAGCTTGAAGTTCAAGTTCATTGCTGGAAGGTGGAGCGAAGTTGGTGTTCATAATTTTTCAACTCGTGGGGTCTTAGGTTGGAGGTGTTACTACGATTGGCATGCGTAAGGGTTATGGTAAATAGGCCCATCGGAGTTTGAATGTCCTGGAGCTCGTGGCAAGTATAAGTCTTTTTTCTTATAGCACATCACAAAAATGGGAACTTAATACATATCCAAAATGGAACTAATTTTAGCACATACCAAGATGGGGAACTGGGTTTGAACCTTACTTCAGGGTAGTCAGAATTATTGCCTAATTGTGCTACGAAGCACTCAGCCGCCGAAGGCTACGCATACTTGAGAATGTGTGTATGGTGTTGGAGTCTCTGCCCTACCGTAGTACATCACCAGTCACATAGCTAATATAAAAAAGCTCACCCCTGAAGTCTGAACATCTGAATCAATTCCCCAAGTGACACTATGCTGCAGAAGAATATAATTAACACTCGCTTGGCCTTGGACAACTTGAGGATGTCCGAGTCAGAAAGTCAGGAAGCCACCACAATGAGGATAGCGGTAGGTGTCTGCAGCCGTGTTTTTTCATTCAAGTACTGATGGAAATCAGGAGGCTGGAGCTGGTCCCAATTTTGGCTGTAAAGTCATAGTACAAGCTCAAGATTCTCACACCGCTAGCAGTGGTACTTGTCAGACTCGCAAGAGGAAGATTGGAGGTGTCGACACCGTCGACAAGGAGAACGTACTATTTCCGAATGGCTGCGGCACCACAACTATCAAGCGCATCTGCCGGGAGAAAACCAGCACCGACTGGCAGACAGTCCTTGATGTGATTGCATATGGTGAAGAACAGCAAAATAGACGGGATAAAGACATGGTAGTTACTATAGAGGGAAAGTAGTTGCAAGAAATTTTACTTACAGGGACGGTACGGTCATGGTAGCTTTCGGATTATGATCAATGTGTGGTAAAAAGGATTGATGCAGACTCGACTTCGCACTTTATGTGTGCTCTCACGCTGCCTTGGCTTCAAGTCTGAGTGAGCAAAGTATCGGCATTTGCATTGTTCAGATGCACGACCTATTAGTACTATGGTAGACGGTGAGCTGTGAATCCTTGGCAAGAGAAGAAGAAGAGCCTTTGACGCAGCGAATAAAAGTATCAATCAAACTTGAACTTCATGCGCTGGGACTCAGAAACACCGTAGGACAATAACAAAAAAATGGAAGACTAGAAAAGAAAAGCAGTTCAAGTTTGTAGCACGAATGTCACTCTGGGCCGAATTGATGTATACGGTATATGCTGCAAAGTTTGACGCATCGATCAAGTGATGCTGACTTTGCTCGAGATTGACACTCGTCAATTATCGGTTGAAAGGGTCGCAGTGTGGTCGTTTGACTCGGACGGTCCAAGTCAATGTTCGGTCGATACTACTAGTAGTATCCGCATCAGAGATCAAACGATCTGATGAGTCAGGTTCAAGTTCGAGTTTGAATTCGTTGAATGGAGGCCAGATCCATAGTACTAGTAGTAAGCCTTGCGCCTACTAGTACAGATGTCAGAGTCCAGGCCGAATCAATCCTTATCATATGATATGTTTGACGCATCGATAGTGATGCTGAACTTTGCTCGAGATTGACACACTGGGTTCGTCAATCAGTATTGGTTGAAAGGGTCGCAGTGTGGTTGTCTGACTCGGACGGTCAACATTCGGTCGATGCTAATACTAGTAGTATCCGTGTCAGAGATCAAACGATCTGAGTCCAAGTTCTTTGAGTTGGAATTCGTTGAATGGAGGCCAGATCTGTACTAGGAGTAGTAAGCCTTGGCCGGCCGCCTATTACACTGACTTGATTCCCTCACCATATTTTGATTGCTCCTTCATTCACTGCGGAAATGAGACATTGATCCTAGTCTATTCTGAGGCATGTAACTTGTATAATCCCACCTCAACAGTAATTCCAACCTAAAGTTGACGTGGTAAGGATCCTGGGAAGGCAACAATTGTAAATAGACCCTTTCCAGACTTTGTGCTCTCAAATTTCCCGGCCTGTACCTTGCAAAATACTACCTAATACCACGCTAAGTCGCCCAGGATATTTGTTCTATGGCCTTCAGATAACACTAGAAGTTGGTTTCAGGTGAGTTCCTCGAAAATTTCGCTAAGTCCCTTAAGACGAGCCATGAACAGCAGATCATGATGTTTTGAGGCACGCTACCAGCATGCATGGACTATGGAGGTGGCTGGTGGGTACCGAAATAAGGGTAGGGAGATGGAGATGGCTGATGCATATCCTGAGGTGAGTGCTGTGGGCTGGAGGAATGGAGCCCTGGGGTGTCATTCAACTGACTCAGATAGCCTTCGACGTGCAGACCAGACAAGCCGCCATTCCTTTGAAAATGCATACTGTCAACTCGTCTTCTAGCTCTCCTTCCAAGGCGTCCAGAAAGAAAAGAAAACTCAAGACCATGAAACTCAACCATCCTCTGAGCCTTTGAACAAGAAACTAAGAACTGTCATAAATTGGGGATGCCGCATCTTTGCCCAGTCTTATGCTACACATCAAAAACAAGCTAAATCATCCTTGCACTCGCTATCATATCAATCTAGATACCGGTCTGAGCAAACAACATTCTCCCTTGCCAGATGCTGAAACGACGTCGGGTACTGAGGCAGAAGGAGGCAGTTGTTGCTGGGGACTCTGTGTATGTATCTGTTGAATATTGATGTAGGTGAAATTGACAATGCATGTTGCCTATTCCAAACTGAGGTCCAGGGCTGAAGAAATCATCACCTTGAGGCAACTGTGGCACCGCTTGGTTCCCGACGTTCAGCGGAGATATATGGGACTGGGGTGTATTATATTGCAGAGGGTATGTTTCTCCCGCTGGTTGTTGATAATTGTGTGCATTAACGTGGGTAAGAGCACTGCTAGGGCTGTCTCTGAGGCTGGCCTTAGAACTTGTACTTGGCCAGAGCAGGGTGGTGGAGGATACTACCAAGGACCAGGGAGCATCTGTGGGGGGCTAGCAGGATGGTTCTCTGATACATTACATGGCTATTCAGAATAGAAGCAGATCCGTTTTCTCTTAACTGCAGACACAGTAGATGTGCAGATCCTCGTAACCTGATTTGATACTGCGTCGGTTTAGACGCTAAGGCAACAAGCCTATCCCTGACTCAAATCCTTACAATTCAGACTCGGTTTTGCTTCTCAGATGATGATATCATCATCATGATGCAACCTCCTTGCGATTTTATGCCTTGGGTTCGAATGGAACACACCTTTTCAATCTTCAGGTTGAGGTCTTGCACTCGAGCTTAACTCAGAAGCACGATTTTTCATATACCAACTTGACTCGGAAGTTGTCTGAGCGAAGCACGTCAAATACAGGGCAAATCCTCATCAATCAAGTATGTTTTCTAATAATTGCCTGTGTCATATCATGATGCTGCGGCTTGCCTGGCATAGTGGAACTCTGCAAAATCCCTTGAGCAATCCCTCACTGTTACTATTCGCGAGCACAACCTTCGCTTTCAAAAGAACCTTCAACTTGAACATTTGCAATGTACAATTGATGGAATTGAAAGCTTGAACAATATCATGTTCTGGCATGTCGCGGCGTCCTTTGTCTTTGTGTCGTCGAGAAAATTTAGTATTGAGGCTAGGTAGGCGTCGTCCTCTCACAGTCAGTTCCGCAGATTGAATCTACTAGTAGTAAGGCTAGGGCGAGGAACTTTGCGTCGCTTGCCCCATGGCATGCAACCTGTTCCAAATGGGGATGCGGGGCTCAAGTCTTCTCAGTGGATCATTCTGAATGATCTCATTATTGGCATTGCGCTTCGTCACGGTCAGGTTTTGCAGCAGGACCGGCAGGCTTTTATGCACCTTTTCAAGCTCATCTTTGAGGTCTGAAAGGTTCATTGCACATTGCGCAATCCTAGTATTTCTGATATAAACACCCAGGACAAGGCCGTGCACAGGAGTCCTTCCGTGGCTCGACAGTTGGCCTGCTGGCCTTAAGCTCAACACCAAACTCAGCCTATTTTATTCAGCACAGCTTTATGGGGCTGATTTCGCTTTGGAACAGAGTGTGCTGACATCGTCCCTGTGCGATACCCTGCATGATCCTCATTGATGTATAGGAAGCTTCCAAACTGTCATACCTCTCCTTCCCATCATGATGGTATTCAGTATGCCTTGAGCTTGGGAGCGCATTTGGGGTGACGATGATGCTTGCTATGGTATGTGATATTGTGTGTATCTTTATGGCACATGTACTACAACTGTGCTATCTGATCTCGGTGACTATGGTCACGGTGTATGGTCATTTGTTATGCTTGGTGGCGTCGCCTTGGAATCTTTTTTGAGGTGAATCGTTTCACTGGCATGATATTTTGAGAACTAGAAATAACCCAACTCAAGCGTCCGACGACATAATATGCTAAGGAATCGGACGGATCCTTGGGACTACAATGTCGACCAGCTCCTGCTGGGGACCATGCTCTTCACACTCGTCACTTATCTCTTTCCCACCATTCTGGTGTACTATATCTTATTCGCCACAGCAAGTCTCAGCGTGGCCCCATGATGTGACATCATGACCGGATCCTTCCAACGATCCTTGAGTTAATCGATGAACTAAGGGCTTCTCCAATTATTATTCAGTCCGATGTGTTTCGCTATGGAACTTGTTCATCAAAACAAGATATGACATGTCTTATTACAACTCCCTGGCATTGAGCTACGCAAAAATTCTAGAACTTCTTCCTCAATTTGTCATGCGGTAACCCTATGCCCAACAGGTAATTTGAAAGTCTCGCCCCAAACTTTCCAGGCCACAGTGCAAGGTGAATTGAATCCATCATTAAATTGTGCCGGTGTTGAAAGCCTAATTAGGAATCTCTGATATAGCACCCATGCCTCATTGCTGGGCTGTGCAGTTCTAATTAGTCAAAGGGTTTGTCAAAATTGTCATTTACCAGACTGGACTGAATCTGAACGTTTTGAGGCATAGAGGGCGGCCGAAATAAAACTTATATGATGCTGCTGTGCTGTTGTTGGTACTAGCCTGGTAGTCTGAGACTACCCAGATTCTGATGTACTCATATGATGGACAGCCCACCAATGCTGCACTCAATAACAATAGCCAGAGTCATCCGAGTCTGGCAGCTAGTCATTCCAGCTATCCCCAGGCCGCCAGCTTTGATTTGGACTACCAGCAGCCCCACCATAACTCGTCCCACTTCATGAATGTGCCCGGGCCAGTGAGCCAGAGCTCTGACATGGGCGACCAGACATTAGCATCGTTTCCCTATACGCCACTTTCTTTCCCTGGCCGTGCCTCCCACTCTGCAAATACTTTTCCAGACCCCCACTTTGTTGATTTACCCACAAACCTTTGCAATCGTTATGATCTCGTCATGCCTGGCGCTGACAAAGATCCATCAATGTCATTCGTCGATAACCCATTCCAGTTCACCCTCAATCCGCATGTAGGGTATCACCCGGTGTACAACCCTTCTGCTATCCCTTACCAGGGATCTGGGCCATCGCACCCATCTCCTTCTCAGTACTTTCCTGTATTCCCTCCTGCCCATCATGTCTGTTGATGGAATACCCACTTTAGCGCCAGGCTCAGAGGATATTGGGCCTCTTGGAAAGCTGCTACATCTGGATGAGCCAGTTGTCCCTCGGAGACTTGTTCCATGTCAGGGAGCCTTTGCCTCCCCCTCCATGTCCATCTGGATCACACAATCGTCAACCACAGGAAAAACCAGTTTGAAATCAAATTTTGGCCATACCCTCGTGTGCGACCAAAGTTGAGGGGTTTAACGTTCAGGTGGGCTACCATCATTATTTTTTATAAATTGTTAATCACTAATGAATTTCAGGGCGCTACTCCATCCACAGCACCTTCGCAACCATCTCGCATAGCGCCTTTACGATACAACGACAAGATCCAAATCCATCGAAAAATCTTCGAAGACGCACTGCGTGACACTCATTCGATCCATGCTCAGTACATGCCCATTCTGGACTGAGCAAGAAACAAAAATGGCGGCTCATGAGGCAGTTGGTTTCAGCAGCAAGTGTATATGATGAAGGTAAGCTGCAGTACCTACCTTAATTTTCAAATGTATCTGAAACTTCCAAAGAGTATGGGAGTCGATGGGGTGCAGAAAACCTCACTGTGTTCTACATATCATTCACAATGCCACCGTCTGCAGATATCATGTCAACATGCAAGAAAAGCGCCCATGGTGTGGCCAAAATTCGGGTATGATCTTTGCTCGTCAATCTGGTCGGAGGATCACGAACCACAGTATCTGATTGATATGGTGAATGTCATATACCTGATCTGACCGCTCCGATACTGATATCCTGCTCCGCTTTCCAACCCCTCCGCCCCATTCATCCTCCACTCCGTCCAATCACAAGTCCGCATTCTGCCCTACACTTCCACTCAACCGCTCAACCGGTCCCCTTCCATAACCTCTCCATTCAACTGGAGCTCTTTCCCCTTTTAGATATATGCCTTCCCTATTGGTACATAGACCCTTACTTCCGGATGGCCGGTAATTCCTATTACCACTCAATCGCTGATCCGATGCATACATATTGATATCTGCCCCGACTTATGTCTTCGCCTATGTAAAATACTTACAAACTATATCCTTGGTACATAGCTTTACTGCATAGTTATCCTGATCACTGCCTCATACATAGTAGTATATAACATATCATGTACTTAGATATTTTTCCTCAGTCTTAATATTACTTGTCTTCTCACAGTTATATCTTGTGAGAATTCTCAGTAGAACCTTGCCTCCTCTGGACACAAGTCTCAACTTGTTGTCACCTCCGACCCTCTGACCCTCTGCTCCGACTTAGAGCCGTTCTCTAAGTCTTCCCCTTATTACTCCGCCCCTATCAAATATCCTCCTTCGCCCCTCTGCATTATCCTCCGCCTTTCCCGCCCCTACCAACATTCCCCTGCTCCTATCTCCTCTCTGCATCACTCCCCGAACATCGCGTCATATGCACAGTCGTTATCAACACCATTTTGAAACTCGGCTACGTGCCTTACATTACTGAACTTGATGCTTTGTTTTGCACAGCTGCAGCGGCTGTGGAGTGTGCTCTACAGGAGCTAGCGAGCGGACAGCTAAACATGTCCATTGACTTTGGGGTATCTAATTTCAAACCTAGGTATACATTACTATCGGAGTATATTTGTGACCACATCAAAACCAACCCAGAGAGCTCTGCTGTGTTGGGAAGAGTTCAAAAACCTGCATTCATGCCAGATTGGTAGACATAACCACATACCATGCTTGATTTTCGTGCATTCAACTTACGTCAGTTACTATAGTTATGGCACGTCCTACTAGTAGTATACATGTAATTTGACCACTTTCCGTCATGACAATGAAGTTGAAGTGAAACTTATGCCTAAGAAATGTGTTGTTCTTCAGGTTGACTGCGTCTACTACAGTGTAGTTGACAATAAGAGAGTCATGAATTCACTGATTAACGGTAACATTCAGATTCCGGAAGCTTATCACTGATTCCGATTCCGAGCTCAGTCCGTCACTGCCACACCTTCAAGTTATTGCCCTCTCTGCTAGGTTGATCCTGCAGCCCATCCCCATGCCAGTTGTAGATGAGAGTTCTTCATCACATCGTTTGGAAAATTGCTGATATTATGAGTGACAGGTCACAACTGTGACTTGGCCTCAGTGTGTCATGGTATGCATTCAGTGTACAGATGCTGACGCAAAGCCCAACGCAAGGTTCAAGGCAAGTCATCTGTGCTTCCCTTTCACGCTATATCTAACTTCTTGACCAGGGATGGCCAGATGTGCGCCATCCTTTCCTCATTCCGTCTGATCTCCAAGCAGCAGCCCAACAACATCATGATAGGCTTGCTGAAATCGAAATATGTCAGTATATCATCACCCATAACCATAAGTCCATGAGTATATACCCTATATACGCTCATTTCAGTCAAAAATTCTAGCATACCGAGGATTCTGCCATGCACGCGAAAATTCGCATCCTAGAAGCTAAACTGCGCTGATGTTGCATGTCAACTGAATGGAAAATGCTTACTGCTGACACAGGATGCTAGCCCAGTGTGACCATCTTGCAGAAACATATTTCGATGGGTTTGAGCAGGACCTGGGCAAGTGCGAGCTCAGGTATGCACTTTCATTTGACCATGACCTAGATGTGTTTGCTGCATCTATTGGGCTCATGAAAACATCCGTCACTGTGATTCTCAATGATGAAGGATGCATAACACTGCCTTTATTGACATGATGTTTGTTGCTCACAAATCACTCCAAAAACGATACAGGAATCAGGAGTAAAGATAGAGCTTATGGAGTGGCGCATGGAGGTGGTCAAGAAGCAAGCAGACACCATTGCAGATCTTGAGATTGAGCTCTCGAAAGCACACAAGCAGGAGCGCGCGTATGAGGAAGCAATGGAGCAACTGCAGGCAGACCTAGATATGTTTGAGCAAGATAACGCAAAGCTGAAGGCATTGGCTGCTGCTTCGGAGAGACAAGGTATGTTTCTTTGTATCGGGGTTAAATGAACAGTTTGGTGACTGCGCGTGTTTAGCTGCTGGCGCACAGCTCATCAATTCAGAGAATGTGCCCATGTAGGGCAATGTGGAGACATCACACCTTCTGGAGCAGGTTTGTGCAGGTTCAATGACATCTTATTGTTTTTCTGACTCTTAAGTAGATCGAGGCTCTTCGTGGCATTGTCCGTTTCTTGCACACAGAAAACTCAGTATCTCAAAGGGCCTGTCAGCCGTGTACATACACCTCCACTAGACCCCTCAGGTCAACCCGACACAGACGAATCAGATTCCAAGACCCCACCCGCGCCTCCTACCATTCACTCGCTCGTTTTTGTCCGGCCCACCAACCCCTCCACTACCAGGATTCATAAGCTTGCCATGTCACTGGATGGTATGAATATGCATGCTTGTGTTGGTTAAGCTAAATCAGGGAGTGCAGCACAACCATGAGTATTCTTGATCATTCGCACTAACAGTGCAACTCAAGCTCCAGTTCATGAATCTGCATGCTTGTGTTGGATAAACTGGATCTGGGGAGTGCAGCGCAACCATGAACATCACCTACCATTCACTCGCTCGTTTTTGTCTGGCCCGCTGTGGGTGAGGAAAATAGACTCTGTGAGATTCAGAAGTCTAACAAGGGTGCTGTTAAGGTCGTGCTCAAGGGAGAGGTTGCTCAAAGGGCTTTGGCTTCAGCTCATGCACTGCGCCCCTTACCCAAGTACGTGCCCTTTAATTTCCGGGGAACAGAGGGGAAGTCTGATGGAAGTCCGGGGAGTTCCAGAGGACTTAGTGTTGGTGGAGTTTGGCGGAACTCTGGAAGGTTTATGCGGGGATGGAGTAAGGCTACTATGGAAGTCCAGAGTAGAAACTGAACAGAGGTTAGACTACCCTAAGGTAGAGCTGGAGAAGTAGTCCTAAGGTTTAACCCCTGAGACTCGGAGGTGGACAAGAGATGAGACTCAAGTCCAGAGATTGCAGGAATGAGCAGAACTAAGATGATATTCAAACTGAGGAGTTCTGGAGTATCACCGGGGTTTATATACTGTAGGTAACATGTAAGTAAATCAGTCAGCAAAGGTAAGGGCTATGTATGAAGCATGTGGAAAGTCTATTACTAAGTGTAACAGATCAAAGCAGTGAAGTCAGAAATGAAGTAGGAATGGACAGATCAATAAGCATAGCGGAAAGGACATAACTGGTGACCGGAGCAATAGCTAATCTAAAAGGAGTTAGGGGTGAGTGTGGAGATGAAGGCGGAGTGCTGGGCGGAATAGCAGGATGGAGAACCAGACTTTAATGGAGTAGATCCGGAATTCTGGATCCAGGAGGTATGGGATATGACAGGTGCGAGACTTATACTCATCCCGAGGGGATTGCTACTGGGTAGCGAGTCCTCAAATAAGTGCGAGGAAACAAAGACTAGACTCTGTCTAGTGACCCGAAGGGTTCCGGTCCTTACTAGGACTGGGAACACAAAGATGCAGAGGGTTCCCGACGAGCGGAACTCAGCGCGCGACGAGCTGGAACTAATGGAACTAACGCAGAACAAAAAGAACAAACGGGGAACAAACGGAACTAATGGGAAACAAATGGAGGGAAAAGAAACTATGAGCCTGCAGGAGGATGATTGGGCAAAGTCGGACCAGGCTTGTGTCTGGTACTTGCTCCAAGTCGTCGGATCCGATGTTGGGCATTTCGAGCGGAACTCACTGGGGGCGGGAATGATGCAATGTGATCAGGAATAGATTCAGGAAGATATTTTAGACAGTGAGTGGAGTACTGGGAAGTACTCTGTAAGTGGAAGTGGGGTCAAGTCTATCAGAAGGTAAAAAACTAAGATCCCATCTATTGCTACCTATATAGGAAGGGGTTCTGAAATGTGCTATGCTACAACCAGGGTGAGGCTGTGAGATAAGGAATCGGTCCCGAGTAGTGGAAGGATCTGTATAAGTACCGTAACACATAGGTAAGGAGATAGGAACATGTTAGTAACATGGGGAGCATAGCTAGTACTCACCAGCGAGGATGGAAGGACAAGGACAGGACAGAGGAGGACGTTCCAAAGGCTAAAAGGATATGATGCGTGTGGTATGCGATTGTTCCACTGGGTTCCGCTGGGTTCTGCTTGGTTCTGTGTAGCGGACGGCTCGGGGAAGATGCAGATGGGTAGCGGGATGGTAGCGGAACACACGGGAAAATGGTGGGAAGGCATGGGAATTATATGGGATATGGGCCTACAGTGGGGATGTTCCCCACACTGCCAACCCCTCCACTACCACACAGCTCCCTGCCTGTTATACCTGCTGTGTTCTTGGCAAGGCTCAAACACCTATGTGCCACTGAAGTTTGCATGTGCCTGCCACTAGAAATCTACCTCGCAGACCTATTTACCACGATGCGGCATTTGGGTGCGCTAGACGCCATGATGCTTACTGCCCGTGCACGCCAAGATGCGGAGGTCCTTTTCAAGCTCAGCTAATTATGTACCAGACTTACTTTATCAAATTGTAGTGATATTGAACACAACATCCAAAAACCCTTGGAGCAATGCCCTTAGTCGCCAATGCCAATGCCAAGTTAATCAATTTAAAAGGCGTGTTCTACCAAAAAGTCATAAATAATGTTATGATTGAAACATAAAGAAGCAAATATAATAATGCTCAACAAATGGACACACTTGATGCTACCAGCCCCCACAGGCAGCGATGGTGCAATGTCACAATGTTGTCACAAACTCGCGTGCTAATCTAAATTTGATGATCAATGCAAACACCGCTTTCCACGAGAAAGCTTTGAATAACCATATAATTAAAACATAAAGAAGGAAACATAAGAATGCTCAACAAACGGACACACTTGATGCTACCAGCCCCTGCAGGCAGTGATGGTGCAATGTCACAATGTTGTCACAAACTCGCATGCTAATCTAGATTTGATGATCAATGCAAACACCGCTTTCCACAAGAAAGCTTTGAATAGCTATGTAATTGAAACATAAGTATTGGAGAATGAGAATGCTCAACAAGGGGGATACAATTACACTACCATCTCTTGCTGGTCATCATGTTACGATGTCACGGCCTCGTCACAAACTCCTCATGGTAATCTAGATTTGCAGACATCAATGGCTATGTATCAACAACTCAAATTTATCGCAGCATACATAGCCATAATTAGCAGAGGCAGAATTACATCCTTCTATAGTTTCCATGGCTACAATATCAAGGACTCATGAATTCACTGATGTGACAGAGTATCTATATCATCACGGATTCACAGGACCAACAGTGATTGAGTTTGTCCCCTGGACTACTACTGCAGTGTCTTATGATCCTACCATGTAGTGGATGAATGGATAAAATTGCGCTTCATACCATGTCACTCGGCTCCTTACAAGTTTTCTGTGTGTGAAGAGCGCAAAACCATTCTCATTGCTCAAGCTCCATGCAAATTTCAATGGCGGCTGATGGGCTGTGTCGCTCCACATTCCGACTGAATGTGGAGAAGCCTGATGGATAATCCAACAAGCCTGTCATGGGCATCATGCAGGTATGATTTGTGGTATCCCCAACTTTGCTTTGTGCCAATTTCGCGTGATACATTCTTAGACTGAAACTTGGGGTAGCAAGATGCCAATAGCTGCCATTATCAAATTGAAACCTGTGAAAGGATATTAGCATTCGTCAGGCAGCACACCACCATAATCACAGCTTATGTCATGCCCCTGTAAGCTCCCGACCCTCTACTCACAGGTTGGCCCCAAAATCAGCTGTTGGAGATCCGGACCGTAAGCTGTGATAAATCATTTGGGGGAATGTCCATCCGGATCACACCAGCTGGCATCAAGCTTCTATATACATTCTCCTGATTACCCAGAGTGCTTGTTCATGACTGGATGCTGCTACGGGCGATTCCACACCCTACGTGGCTTTTATACAGCATGTGTTGCATGGCGTGACTCAGGCTCACTCCAAGTCGTTTACTTGCAACAGTACAATATGGCTACTACAGGAACTCCTGCGATTTTGGAGTTGCACTTGCAACCAGGTGCGGATGAAGCGATTCTAGCCAAGCTAGGATACAAGCAGGAGTTTCTCAGGGAATTTACTCTGCTAGAGGTGAGCTTGGTGTTATATTCCTTCATGGACACACAAACCAACAGTTGTACAGGTGGCTGGACTTGCATTCAGCTTTACAGGACTACTACCTGGTATAGCGTAAGCTGTGAGCATCTCGACATCGCTCCTTTACTGATAGACACCAATTCAGATCTGTGCTTTTTTATGCTATGCCAAATGGAGGGCCTGTCGCTATGGTTTGGGGGGTAAGCTTTCATCATATGTGAGGATCACAGTTTTCACCTTTCCCTGTGCAGTGGGTAATTGCCACCCCCTTGATATTGTGCATCGGGTTGGCGATGGGAGAGCTCGCATCAGCAGCACCTACTTCTGGTGGCATATGTCCTTGACCCCATCATTCATTCATGCTTGGCTCAACAGGGGCTAGTTATACTATTGGACTTACTCGCTTGCTTCTCTGCAGTGCCGAAATTTTCTGTCGTGGATAGTTGGCTGTCAGTCTTACATTTCGATATCATACTGCTGCCCGTCCTGACATCTCCAGATTCAAATACCATAGAGAATATCGCGGGAGTCGGTAAGATGAAGTTCATCCTTGCAACAGTCTCCCTCTGATTGTGTGGGACTAGCTTCCGCAAACTGGGCTTGTGCGGTTCAAATCACAGCAGCGGTCAGTATCGCCTCTGACCAGGCATATTCGACTACCAACGAGCAGCTCTAGTAAGCCAGGGCTTGGCCCTTCCTCTTTCAAACACAACAATATTCAAAATGGTTGTCACAGCGGTGTATATGTGGCTTTGGTATTGTTGCATGCTATTATTGTGAGCTTCGGTACCAAAGTCTTGGCGAGACTGCAGAGACTACTCACTTTTTTGTGCTTGTGTGCTGCGTGTTTAAATTGCCAGCTTTTTTATCCTTGTCTACCTTGTTGGCTTTGGCAAATATTCAGTAGCTTGTGAAGCTCACGGCACAAGTGAGTAATTAAAAACAAGCGAAAATAAGTCTCTATTTTTGTGGCAAGTGCGGTTAAGGAGTTTGTGAATTTACTGATGCTAGTGGATATTACTATCTCAGGTTTCAGTTCCATGAGTGTATCACGTGACGTGAGCTTGCAGATACTACAGAGTGTTATCTGCAGTGTGTATGAGAGCCTTGTTGAGTGATCCATATGATTTGCGTGGAATGTGGACCATGGCATCAACATTAGCCTCAAATGGTTCGTCATACTCATCTTTTTCTGACTCGTCTGCCGGCAAAAATGGCATGAAGCCTGAAAATTGAGAATAGTTTTGCACCACAGAACATGATTTGTGTCGTTCATTCGTTCCACGGCTAGAATCACCGTAACGTGTCATAAGACCTAACATAATGTTGCAGTACCTGTCGAGCTCGTATATGGATGCTTTGTCTGTAGGTAATAGTAGTGGGATGCAGATACAATCTTCATCATCCGAGTGAAGATTTAGGGGGATTTTCCACGTGCTAAAAATGAAAAGGGAGTGCCTTGGCCTTCTTCCATAGTAGGTACCTGCGCAGATATCAACACAGGTTGACAGTGGACACCGTCTCCACCTGAACACCAAATATTTGCAGTGGCCTGGGGAGTGGGAGGGCGCATGGTGGCCGAGTCGGGCAATGCTTGGTGGTCACGACATAGGACAATACCAGATGGTCGGGCTTGGCTTGTTGACGTTCGCTGCGACAGTATGAGTGACGATATTTGATGAAGCCAGAATTTGGCCAGAATTTCACCACTGTCTGCCAGGCTCCAGCCTACGGACTTGGCAATGGGAAGTAGCACCGCATAGCTTAGTCAGCAGCCACTTTGTTCATTCTTCCTTTAATGACTTCAACAGTGCTGGTGATACGCAGTGCCATTAAACGCATCCATCATGAAGCTGAAAAAAATACCATATCGTTGCCCAGGTCTGCGAGAGTGTCGTATCAGTCATGCATTCTCATGCTGAGAGGGGGCATCTCCCTGTCACCCTTGGCGGAAACCATTCCTGCACTATGAGCACTATGGCATATCAGGCACGATGTGGTGAGTTTTTTGGTT